ACCCGGTCACCAAGAGACCATACTCGCTAGGCGAGCAACTGCGCCGCTTGGATAAGACGGAGCCGGCTCGTGTACAATGGACCAATTGTGCCACTGTCGAAGAACAGATTGCTCACCTTCCGGAAGCTATTCGCAAGAAAATCCTTCCAGAGGCGGAATGGGAACCACTTTCTGAGGACATTTAGTCAACTTCGTCTTACACAATCTGCCGAGTGTAGCTCTTTGGATACACTCTTTCATAATTCATATCAATCTTAATTTCCAAAGGTGTATCCTCTTCTCCTTTCGTTTTCCATCATGCTTTCCAATCCTGCATATAAACAGCGCCTTACAATCATCTTTCCAGACGTCAGGTTTGGGGATGATCATCCCCGGCCTGCATACTTCGAAAGCGAGCTCGAGCACGCGCGCCTTGGTTAAACTCATAAAGCAGACCTCCACAATTCAGTTGAGATGCGGGGAGCCATTCTGGATCGTTATAACCCTTCCACTTGATAAGGTACTCTCGACGCCTTTTAGCGGTTCGAGTTTTCTTAGACCATCGGAGATCCAAAATCTTCTCAACCTCGTATTCATCCTTTTGGATATTGGCTTCCCAACTGTCCTCAGGGAGTAACGCAGCATCGAAATCATCTTCTTCTTCTACATCCACACTGGTTGTCGGTCTTTTGGGAAACAACGCTCTGGGCTTCAGACGACTGACATGGACCCATGGTTTGACTCGGTAACCGGTACTGTCAACTTTCAGTTTCACTCTAAAATCGTCCAACACTTCATCAATTCGGAAGGGCCCATGCCATAGATGTGCCAACTTCCTACTTAGCCCAGTTTGCACCTTCGGAATATATAACCATACAGCGTCCCCTTGCTGAAAACCTGACTTCAGTCGTTCGGATAATTCTTTCCACTTTTGCGTTTGGAGAACAGATCGATGTCGTCGAGCTTTGTTCTGTAAATCCTCGGCACACGCCTTCGCGTAACTATAATCTCTCTGAACCTTTCGCCTCCACTCATAAGCAGTTCTTTCGGGTACACTTGACGGTGTTGGACCCAACATCGCCTTCAAAGTACTTTGTGGATCCCAGTCATGAATCAAGTAGAACGGGGTATCTAGACGTGTCGCGTCAAACGAAGTGTTTAGCGCAAACATCAACCTTTCCGCATGGTCATCCCAGTCACTCTGATCGGCCTGCTCGATATAGGCACGAATACCCCTGACAACCGTTTGGACGGATCGTTCCTGTTGTCCGTTCGCTTGGGGCCGGTATCCCAAAGTGGCTCTCTGACGACTATTCAAGAGTTCTCGAAAACGAGTGAACACTTCGCTCATAAAGCGGGGATCTTGATCATGCCGAATCATCGAACTTGCTCCGAAGTTCCAGAATACTCGTTCCTCGTACGCCTCCGCGACATCCTGAGCGGTGGTTGAATCCATCGGCTTTCACATCACATATCCAGAAAAAAAATATCTTTGAATAGCAAAAACGTATTCCCTCGGTCGGACTTCGGCATGTGCGTCACGAAGTCCATCGAGACCACTTCGAAAGGTTGTCTGGGTTCGATATTCCCGGGCGATGGTCCGGCATTTGGAGGTTTTCCTTTTCCACTTGCGCAATCAACGCATTCTTTCACAAAGTGTTCTACATCCGCATACATCCCAGGCCAATAGAACTCTGAACACAATCTCTTATGGGTCCTGGTGATGCTTTGGTGACCTCCTTGAAAGTCCTCGTGGCCGTAATGCAAGACATCATCCCTGAGACCTTTTGGGACGACGAGTCGAGGTTCATCCTGAAAGTCCCGCGGGTGGTCACGAGTGGAGCGAGCTAGTCGATACAACACATCTCTAGTGTCCAGTATGAATAGGTCGGCAATCTTGGCAACCTTTCTCAGTCTTCTGGGCGAAAACTTCTCGAAGTCTTCCTTCAGAAAGTCTTTAATCTCCGACAAGTACTCATCTGCGTCCTGATGCACTCGGATGCGGCGCCATCGTTCAGCTTGGAATTCCAAAGGGTCCACAGGTCGGTCCCTCGAAGTGGGTTCGGCTTGACTTTTGGATGTCACTGCTGCGAGCACGCGGGCTGATTTTGTCAATGGAGCTGACTCCGCAGTAGGCTGTTCAACGTCCCTTGACCGTGATCCT